CTTTAAGGGTGAGGCGACCATCCGAGTTCCTACTTGAATGGCTGCAGTTTACCAACCCCCATTGCCGGAAGCAGTTTCCCTTGCAGGAAGGATATGTTATCAAGGACTCGTACAGGTCTCATCCTGAAAGTCCGCCCTGGTCGGCCAATGATCCGAAGGCCACGGGACTTGCGCGAGGACGGCGAATGAGACAGCAAAGAATAATTGGACTCTGTCCGACGAACGTAGCCGAAATTCGAGCCATTGCGGCGAACCCTGGCCCCCAGGAGCGGGAGCCACACGGTTAGAGGTGACCAGGGAAACCCCCCGCCTTAGCCACGCTCGCAGGACAGCCCAAATGCTGTCTTATCGGACACGCGTCCGGGACAGGATGTAACAAAATGTGGAAGAAAATGGCGAAGGGGATTGGCAGGGAGGAGGGGGCGATAACAAAGTTGCCCTCCCCTCTGTTCTTGACAGCACTTCAGGGACAAAGGGTGGACGCGGGATGAGAAGGGTGCCAGGGACGGGGAGGCGGGAAAGGCAGGGGGGGAGGAAAAGGAGGGAGTGGGGGGGGGACAGACGACAAGCAAGGAGGAGCGGAGCTCTTGAGCCCCGTCCACAGGACAGGGCTGACGCGAGCGAGGGGGGGAGTTTGTGTTCTAGGATCGTGACTCTACAAGACGACGTGCCGGGAGGGACATGTGAAAATTCACGCGACGACGGTCCCAGGAGGGATGTGTGAGCATCCCCAAAGGGACACGTGAGCATTCTGCAACGCACTGCTTCTTTGAAACGTCACGGCGTCCTTCCCGTGCACGCGCTCCGCGACAGCTCCTCTGCAAGACGACGTGCCAAGAGGGACGCGTGAAAGCTCACATGACTACATCCCAAGAGGGAAATTTGAACATCCCTACAGGGACATGTGGACATTTTGCGACGCAGTGCTTCTTTGAAGCGTCACGGCGTCCTTCCCGCGCACGCACTCCGCCACAGTTTTTCCTTGCTCTTGTTCCCCTTCTCCCCTCTTCCCCGGGCGTTTGCATGGCCACGTGCTACGACGCTCCTCCCGTTCCTGGTGCAGCGTAGCGTGCGAGAGGGGCGAACGCTGCAACAAAATGCGGTTGTTGTGCATCTGCTCTCACGCCGCACCCCCACGCCCTCTCCTCCTAGCTCCTAGCATCCCGTTCCTCCAGAGAGACGCGGTCGCCAGGAGGCAGCACCGGGCCTACGGGGAGGGCGGTGAATAGGGGGCTGGGGTGTCGCAGAATACCCCCAGGGGGCGTGGTAGGAGTGTCGCTCACCATCAAGCCCACCAGTGGCAGAGACAAGGAATGTGCGATACCGTATGTTGTTACCAAAATGTATCGGTGAATCCTTGTCGCACCTTGCGGAAAGCAGAATCGGAATTGGCCCCCAAACCCGCGGAGTGAACCGATCAGCAGACTGCGCGGTGGTCACTGGATTGGACGAGAAAATTTGTCCGCTGATCACGGACTCAGTGTGCACTAGGGCGAGAAGAGGGCGGAGACGGGGAGACGCTCGACAAGGTAATAGGCCGGACCAACTTTCGAGTTGGGGCGGTGTCCACTGGCGAAGCGATTCCAGGAATGTGTTGCCCCATGGGACGGGGAATCGCGTCTCGGCGGACATTCCTTTTCCAAAAAGAGCAACGCGCCAGTTTCAGAGCAGGCGCCACAGCCGCCGCAGCTAAAAATGGCACCGCGGGAGTCATTTGCTACATGCAGTCGGTGCCCCCTTGGGCTGGCGACCAGAACAAAGAAGGCTGCATCGCACCCCCGGCAAGGCGTCACGCCCAACGGCTGCGACGTCAAGCCCACGCATGACGACCCTCTGCGTTCGCCAGGGCAGCTGCCGAAGAAGCCGCCTCGGGCGGGGGGGGGGGCGGCGGGGGCGAGGGCGGGGCCAGGGGCGGTGGGGACGGGAGCGCCTGGCGGGCAGCCCGAATGCCCGTGTTGAAGCCTGGTGCTCCTGGCCGCGCGCTGAAAGGAGGAGCGCACAGCTTGGGAAGGGGCGAGTCTCGGGAACAAAACAAACGCCCGTGCTGCGTACCTGAGATATCGCCGCAGGGGGACGCACTCGCCAACCCATGCCGTTGTGTATGACGCAGACGGCTGCCCTACATTGAGTTCACCTTCCTTCGCATACCTGACAGCAAAGTCGTTGTCGACGGCTCGATACCACTCCAATAATACAGCTGGCAGATCAGAAGGGTTGACATGAACTGGGATTTTGACAATGCGGATTTTGACAATGCGGAAATCCTGGGCCCAGGCCAGTGACCCCTTATATGTATACATAGAGGCCAGCGCACACGTGCTGCCGGGCCGCCAATAGCCGCCACGTCGCCTGAGAGCTTGGCCAGCCCTAAAAATCAGAGTAAATAAAAAAATGCATGCGGGCGCAATTGCATGACCGCGGGGACGGCAGTGTGCTCAGCTGCTGGGGAGGTCTGCGGGTAGTCCGCGCCGACGGCCCCTAAGAAGGCGCCGAAGAGCTC